CCCCCCCCCAGGAAAGGCGGCAGGGAGTAGCGGGTAGACGGGGTTGGGAAGAAAGATGGCACGTCTGTAGCTCAGACATCCCTATCTTCGAGTCATTGTCATCACACTCAATCTTTCCACCCTCACCCACGGTATCCAAAAAGCAGAGATTGATTCGCGGGAAAATCGGGTTTACGAAAACGTCGGGGTTTGACGCGGGCAGGCTCTTGAGACCTGCGCAGGCTTTGCTTAGATTCAAAAGTATGATTTTAATTTTCTTAATGAAGGCGCGCTCTAGAGCTCAGCTGGTAATGGCTGTACTGAGTTTAATAGACTTCTGTCGAACAGAAAAAGACGGATAACTATCGGTTATAAGTAATCTGCTCTAATGCAATTATTTTCCCAGGTTCGAATGTCATTGTGCAGAGAGGGCAAGAGTGAATTAGGGCCCCGGGGACCGCGGACGCGGGGCAAGGAGACTGCCTGAAATACGAGACGAACCTGTTTTGTGAGATGCACTTGGGTTTAGGGGTCGGGGTCGAAGGCTCCAAAGCCCTTGATCTGCACGTGTGAAATCTCTCTCTCTCTCTCTCTCTCTCTCTCTCTCTCTCTCCTCTCCCTCCCTTCCTTCCTCCCCCTCTCCTCTCTCAATTTCTCATTTTCTCTCTAGCTCCCTCTGCCCCTTTCTCCTCAGGTCTCCCAGCGTTAATGCGCATTTCCTTTACCTCTCCTCTATTTTGCCTGTCTTTGTGTATTTCAGGCAGATCCATTCAGTCCAAAGTATTTATCCAAAACACGGAAGTAGGCTCTTGGAACGTGTCAACCCATTCACCTTTTGAAATCCAGTAAAATAAGGATGTTTAAGATGTTGATGGTGCTGTGTACATATACATAGTCAATACACCAGGAGGACTATTTCTTTCCAAATACAGAGCCAACCCAGGTCACTGTCCAAAAGCAGCCCCATCTTAGCTCTACCACAAATTGTCATTCCTGGGAGCTTTTATGTGAAACCATCCTAGCTCTTCTTAGCGCTCTACTCCCCTTTGCCTGGCAAACACAATCTCAGGCAAACGTGATTTAAAAAAATAAGATTAATAACACTATTCATAATGGCCCCTCTGACAGCGAACACGCCAAATCGGTGGGAGGAGAACCTTGCATTTTCACCTAGATGAAGGATTTGGAGGCAGGCAGGCAGGCCAGAGAGGTGAGCGCTGGACGGTGGAGCCAGGCACCCTGGACACCAGTCAAAACGTCTGCCCACGGCCATTCCAGCCTCACTTTCCTCGCTAGTCTCTCTCTCCAAGCGCTGGGGAACAAAGGAAGTTCGTAGGACGGGCTCACTTTAAAAAAGGTTGAATGAACCCCAGGTATGGGTTTCTGTTCCCGACCAGGGAGGTGAGGTGAGGGTAGCTGGGTGTGGTGTATCGCTGACTCACTCTAGTTCCATAGGCTAACTTGGCCTACAATCCCTTAGCCTTGTACATTCATATTCATTCTCTCTCTCTCTCTCTCTCTCTCACTGTCTCTCTCTCTCTCTCCTCTCCCTCCCTCCTGTCCTCCGTTACACACACACACCAAAGGCGACCTAGGCATACGTGCCCACAGACATCCACAAAGCTCTGTAATTGCTGTCCTCTTCCCTGACCCAATCCTACCCAATTACCCCCGCCACGTCTCACGTCTCAAAAAAAAAAGCACCCGTTGGCAAAACCCCTCAGGTCTCCCTGGCTGAGGGCTGAGGAAGAGCTGGAACTTGGTATGCGGTGCCCCGACGCAGGAACTTGGGTGCAGAGGGAGAGAGGCCCCTTGCTTCTCGGCGCCCTGCGGCGGACAGCCCTCTTGGAGGGTGGGCGTTGGGTGAAGGGTGCGCTTCCGACCTTCCGTTTCCCGCGTGCTCTTCCCGGGCAGCTGGGAAAGAGAATTAGGAAGAGATCCAGTCCTCAGGCCCCAACGACTCCCAGGAGCCAGAGAAGCTGAGCAGGGCAGGCACCTCCCAGGTGCCTCGATGTAGCTGTCTGATGTAGCTGTCTGGGATTCCATGTCCGCGAGAGCGAGGAAGTCTGCGATTAGAGGAGCCACGGTCCAACTTCTTAAGCGCTCCGCCTCCATTGCCCTTTAAAGATGGAGAAGGTCGCTAGGCAGTGCTCAGGCCCAGCCGGCTCCAGTGCCAACCCACCGCAGCAACCTCTGCTGGGAGGGTGTCAGTCAGGTACACTGGGAGACTTAGTGACTTTGGGTGGCACCAGGGATGGAAGACCGGCCTCCGGGTCCAGAAGCAGATTTGGAACGGGAGAAGGGGTGATTATCAGAGTCCCCCCCTCTTCCCTCATAGATGAAGTCCCCCTGTCACTCCTCTATCTGTCAATCCTTCAACAGCTCTCCTGCAGAAAAACCGCTTTGTTGCGTTGTTTTGGTGACTTCGGAGAGCAACTGAAAAGACCCAGAAAGCTTCCACAAGCTTTAGGTGGATCTAATTCTGCTTCTGAAAAGTAGATATGAGAGGAGAGGAAAGAGATTCTATTACCCAACAGCTTTCTAAGATCCCCGTCAGCCAAGTAAGGTTAAGAAAGGCTTGGTAGAGAGAGGAAAAGTCAATTACCCCCAATAGGCCCCAGGAAGAAACCTGGACAGAGTGAGAATCACAGCTCCTAACCTAGCTGAGAACACCTTGCGAAGATGTCTTGGACTCTCAGCCTGTGCCACTTGTCCAGGTGTGCCACTCTGTAAGCTCTCACAGTCCATTCTCACCCTGAAGCAACCGATTCGATTAGGTCTGGGGACACACAAGGAGGCCAAAGAATTAGGTTTGCTTCTCTCTCATTTCTTCTCCTGCTTTAAAAGTCAGTAGAGGAAAGCATTTTTTTTCAGTAAATCAAATGTGTAATTACATTTGCATAGACTTGAGACATAAAAAATTATCTTTTCTTTAATTGCATGTAGATATTTTTAAAGGACTGCTGTGAACATGGCATGCTTCTATAGAATAAGGTACTTAAATGTAGGCTATAAGGATAAACAGCACTAAGAATACCTGATGTCCCCTTCTTCTGTCTTCACGTAAATAAGGTGAGGGGTTCTCAGAATATCTCAGGTGACAAGAGCTCCTAAAACAAACGAACCAATATGTAACAGTAGCGCATTATTGCACCTCTAAAGAAAGTTCCCCTAAAAGAAGTTAGAGGCAAACACCTCACTGCAAAGTTAAGATTTTTCTGCCTACTTATTTATCCAGGTCTCTTAATTTTAATACACATTAAATAATTTGTTCAGAAGGGGTGATATTGGCTATCCCAACAGTGCAAAGGCAGTTGTTTATACTTTGAACCTTATCCATTGGCCTTAGGACTTTTGAATGTTCAAGTGAAGTGTAAATAGAGTAAGGTCACAGGTGATTGACAAGTTCAAGTTACTTAGCTCAATTTTCAAAATTTTATTTCTAAATTATGTTCAATTTTATTTTCCTGCTTTGCTATAAATGACCTTAGAAAAAATCCAATGGGAATGGACAATTTACACCATGTTCTCCGTACTGTGATTTATTTGTAAAGTCTTTTTGTGACGTATGCCTCCTTTAATGCGTCTGTGGAGACCCAGTCTTTACAATTAGATTTAGAAACACAGCTATCATGCTGATTCACAGGCGGTCACGTTAAAGATACAATAATCACAAAATTTTTGACAAATTTCTAAAATAACTCTGATCCTAAACTGCAGGCAGAACCTCCAGACTGTTTAGAGTCGAATTCTCTGGATATTGGCACGCTACTACATTTAATGTCCATCTATCCAAACAATAGAGTGCCATTTGAAAATATACACCTTACAACTCACTTTCTACATAATATCGCCAAGTTCTCCTATGCATTATTTAATAGACACTCAAGCTCTTCAGATCAAGGCTTGTGCTGCCACATCTGGAAATGCTTGCTCTGCTCTTATCCCCGGCACCCCCAGTCAGACACCCATGAGAGAAATGGCCGGAGCCTCCCCTTCCACCATTATATGATAGCATCAGCTTTTAATCAGCGAGAGGCACTCCTATTTAAATTTACAGGATGACTCTTTATTTCATTTATCTTTCCTTTTGGAGGAAAGTGAAACAAGAGTACCACCCTTATTAATTATAAGATTGATGGGGTGAAAAAAGCCAAATGAATTTGGCTTGCAAATTATTAGTTAGGGGTATGAATATTTATGATGGTGCCAGGAACTGCAGTCGTGAACCCTGGGTATCAAGCTTGGGAGATAGTCAGACCAATGCATTCAGGGAAGGTTCGGTCTCCCTAAATCTGACATGACATAAATGGAAACTTTAAATTAGACTCAGGGTGGGCTCCCAGCACATCAGCTCCCCCCCCCTGCCCCTCCCTTCTTTTTTTTTTTTTGGCTAACATTGCTGAATGTGAACTTACTTCTGGTAGCCTCGATCATAAACTTTAAAAATCTTTTACAGTGAAAGTAGGTACCTATAAGCTTTGTGAAGACAATTTGTGTTTGTACTTTTGCCACTTGATATTCATTTATGTTTTAAATCAAGTTTATCTGCAAAATATTTGTGACATACATTTAAACAATTTAAAGCTATTTTTATCCAGTGTAAAAATATTGGAAACCTGAAATAACCTGGGTATAAAGAAGATCTAAATAGACACAATCTAAGTTAGATAGAGACAGAAATGAGAGGGGAAAAACAAAACAGAAATGGAAAAGAGATAAAAGGACAGGTTTTTTTTCTTTGTTTTTTTTTTATCTCTTTGCTTGTTTTCCTTTTTCTGCACCAGACTTAACTTATGCTTCAGCCCCAAAGTGAGAAAATTTCAATGAAAGGTAGAAGAAGAAAGGGTCAAAGTAGAAAGGGAAAGGGTGCAAACAAGGATTTAATAATCCAGTAAGACAATTTGGTAAAAGACAAGCTCTACCCTTCTGTTTTCCTCCTCTTGATTACACATTTAGGAGTTTTATATGCTTTGAAAAAGGGCTGCGGATTTGAGACTGAATGATCTCAACTACTATCTCACCATGGGTTTCTTTTTCTTTAAGTGGGGGCTGACCCGATCCTGTGAAAATAGTTTATTCTGACATCAGAGCCAGTTTAGCACATACATTTTGAAAAGAAAGACAAGTTCTCAAAACAGAAATGCTAAGTATTCTAAAAAGCATAAGCAATTTAAAAAATGCTCCTCAAATTTTCTGAAAAACTCCCAACTACATATATATATATATATATATATATATATATATATATATATCACAATTGTAAGTGGATATTTGTGCTAAATTGATGCTTTATGTATATCCTGTCTCAATTTGTCTGTTCTCTGTAAGGATATAATTTTTTTTAAAGAAACGATACCACTGACAACAATTTAGTTAAATTCAGAAACCTTGAAATTGATGCATCTCCTATCAATCACACTTGGTAGATACAGCAAAACACATGCAACATTTGTATATCAATAGTGGCACACACACAAATCTGTTTTGTTCAATTTAAATGCTCTTCAACATGTCATTTCATATTTTTC